TTGAGGTAGTTGTAGATTGGTAATTAGAAGCCTACCCCCATCGATCCCCTGTCGCCGCGCCAGTTACATGCATATATATATATATATATATATATATGTATATGTATGGGCATTATCAATAAGTCAAAAAGAGGCGGCTTAGGTAGGTAGGTATATGAGTAGCATTAATAGGTAGAGACAAGTAAGGAAAGTATGAAAAACTAAGATAGATAAAAACAAAAAGAGAGAAAGACCTAAGTAATACAGTCAGTGAAGGCACAGAAAGGAATGATATGACGTTATTCTAAGGAAAGGAGTTGACATAGGAAAAGAAGAGATGGAGAAAGCTAGTCAATTTGGTCACCACACTCATGTAGCATTGGGATAACAGAAATATGCCTTACATCGCTGTGACCTTATGATAATATAAATGTATATATTGTGAGAGCAATAAATGTCGATACCATCCAGAAAGTAGGCACAGTCGGTGATCCTCACCGGTACAGTCGTCAATACTAATATACAGTTATTTATCTTACAATTGGATATTTAAATCACTGTTTGCTCATTTTGTTCACTCACTTTTATATCATACGTCTTGCATCTATTATTTATCAATTACATCTCGCCTGACAATGGTCATGGAATATCTCTAGAGATTTGTAATTCTCATAGTAGGTAGTCCAAGAGGCAGTGACATTCAAACCCTATCATGTTTATTTGTATACCATTTTATTTTCTTTTTTTAATAAACCGTAATAACCATTTATTGAGTCTTTAATCGAATCTTTAATACCCGATTTACACAAAAATGGAATGGAAAGGGGTGGAGTTTAATTTTTTTCTTATAAACTGAGGGTGGAGATCTAAATCAGTGAAATTTTGTTTATACACTTGGGGCCTTGTAGAAAAAACATTTATTTTTGTTTAACTTAAGTTCAGAGATTACAATAAAAAGAAGTAATAATATCAACTTAATATGTGCTTTTATTTGAATAATTATAATCTGTATACAGGATTAATAAATATAGACAAGAATTTAGCCATACTATTCGCGGCTTACAATAGGCTTAAAATAACTGTTGTAACAGCTGTAGTGCCAAGAACTATATATCCTGTTGTATAAACTTCTTTTAATTTAAATAATTGACCGATATCCCAAACCAAGTGACGTATTCCATTCCAAAAGTGATATGAAAATGGAAAGGCAACAAGCAGTTTTCCCAAAAATAATGTTGCTGGACTCACTGTTTCTAATGCTGAAATGTAATGGGGCCAATCATGGGGCAATATCAATACTCCAATTCCAAAAGCAGTAACATATCCAGCGAGTACCATACCTTTAAGTAAATTATGAATAAATATAACACATTCAACTGCATTTGAATGGAATCACATTTTACCAGTAATCCTATGTGTAATTGATAACATACTGGTAATTTGGGGTTTGTATATAGTTAAGTGAGGAGATTGAGGACGTTTTAACTGTTCGTTTTTCTCAAAGAAATCTTGATCTGATGAAGGAGGTTCAGGAACTATTTTCATAGTAACTGCTCTAGCGGAAATAATTACATTCTTTTGAAAATTGTTAGCTAAACTAATTTTGTTACAGCTTCGATTTACAAGTCTACAAAAGTTACATAATTCATCAAAAAATATATATATCCTTTAAGTTACTCATTTACCTGTATACCGACAACATTTTTGTAAATAAATATATTTGTTAGAAGCAGTTAGTTGTTAATTTTTAATAAACTGTAAATTAATAGATTTTTGTAAAATTATTTATAACCTATGTGTATAACATAACCCCAAAACGTGACAATTTGACAACTAGGTTTATAGATACTTATTTATATATGAATTATGGGATATATCCAGATATATCTCTGTGGTTGATGAAAATTAGAAATGTTAAAATCTAAAATACATTAATAACTGTAAAATAC